GCAGAGAAAAGATCCAGAGGTACACACATAGAGACACACACTTAGAGATACAAGCAGAGAGACCCAGAGACAGAGAGAAACTCAACCCGCAGGTTAGAGATGGAAGAACAAGATGCCAACAGGAAGGAGGTGGGGAGGGACAGAAACAGAAAAGAGATCCAAAGACAGAGAGACATAGAAACACACCTAGAGCTAGGCACAGAGAGACCAGGAGAGGAGAAAGAGGCAGACACACGTACACATCTGTAAATAGCGACACTTGTGCAAAGAGAGAGATCTCAACAGGGAGTAATAGATGGGAGAGACAGAGAGACCCAGACTGAGTGAGCGAGACCTGGAAAAAGACCAACTGACCTAAAGGGAGATACTAACACAGAGTCAGAAAGACAGAAACATTCAGAGATAGAGAACTGGAAATAGACATTCCAAGACCTAGAGATGGAGGGAGACAGAGACACCCAGAGAGAGGCAAAAATAGAGAGAGAGGAAACACAAGAAACAGAGGTATGTATTGATTATCCATTGCCCAAATAGCAAATAACTCTAAAACTTAGTGGCTTAAAGCAACAAACATTTATTATCTCACAGTTTCTGAGGGTGAGGAATTTTGGAACAATCTAGCTGGGTGGTTCTGGCTCAAGGTCTCTCATGAGGGCGCAGTTAGGCTATGGGCTGGGGATGCAGTCTTAGGAAGGCTTGGCTGGGTCTGGAAGATCTACTTCCAAGCTTACCTACTTTGCAGTGGGCAGGAGGCCTCAGGTCCTCGCCACATGGGCCTCTTTATAGGGTTGCTTGTGTGTTCTCACTACATGGCTACCAGCTTCCCCCATTGGAGACAAACAGAGGTGTCTTATGTGACAGTCTCTAAAGTCACACACCATCACTTCTGTATTCTGTTCATCAGAAGTGAGCCACTATGTCCAGACTACACTCAAAGGGAAAGAGATTAGGCTCCCCCCGCCACTCTTGCAGGAAAGAGCATCAAAGAATTTGTGGGCTCATTTTAAAACCATCACAAGTGGGAAGAAGAAGAGACACAGCAATGGAGAGAGACAGACCCTTCAAGACTGGTGAGGCTTACAGATTGGTGAGACACTAATTCAGAAACACAGAAATGTGTCGGAGAGACACTTGACGATAGAGGGTGCCATGGAGACAGGGAAAAGAGGCAAGACAAAGAAAACGGTAATGATGATAATAATAATAATTATCATAATAACAGCCAGTACATAAAGCATACATACCAGCAAAGTTCTGAGCATTTCTATGAACTCACTCATGTAATCCCCACAGCCTCCTTATGAAGCAGAAACTATTATTATCCCATTTTGCAGATGAGCAAACCAAGTCAGAGGGCACAGGTGATTTTCCCAGAGTTACAGATAGGAAGTGGTGAAGCAGGGAAGAAAAGCAAAGAGGGTTGGAGAAAACATGATGGAGACATATTACAGAGAAGTGGAGAAAGCGGCAGGAAGAGACACTCAGAAAGACCCAGCCCTGATGGAGATATTTCTCCATCAGAAAAAATGGTGGCCGCCCTGAAAGTTTTCTAGATTCCAGGGCTTTGCCACACACTTGGAGGTTTCATTTCAACCCTCAAAGCTGCCCCATGAGGTATGTGGGGGTGAGGGTGGGGGTGGGGGGGCAAGGAGGAGTACTAGCCCCATTATATGAATACAGATTACTGAGGCTCAAAGAGGGAAGTGACTCACCCAAAATGTATTCGGTTGTTGGAAAAGTCATGATGCATTTTTGCAACAAAAAACATAGAAAAAGGGGCTGGCCGAGTGGCTCAGTTGGTTAAGAGCTTGCTCAAGAGTGCGAGCTCTGAGCAACAGCGGTTCAAGTCCTGGCCCGAGCTGAGCAGCCGCTGAGCTGCTAACAGGTGGCAGGATGGTTCAGCTAAAAAAAAAAGAAAGAAAAACATAGAAAAAATACGTCATGACTTTTCTGACAACCCAATAGTTGGTTGAATGGATGCCACCACCAAAAAAAAAAAAAGTCCATCTAGAACCTGTGAACAGACCTTATTTGACAAAAGGGTCTTTGCAGATGTAATTAAGTCAATGATCTTGAGATGATATCATCCTACATTATCTGGGTGGACCCTAAATCCAGTGAAAAGGGTCCTTATATGAGAAAGGCAGAAGGAGATTCAAGACAGAGGAGAAGGTGATGTGAAGACAGGCAGAGTTTGGGTGATGTGCCCACAGGCCAGAGAATGCCAGGAACCATCAGAAGCTGGAAGAGGCCAGGAGGACCCCTAGAGCTTTCAGAGGGACTATGGCCCTGCTGACATCTTGATTTCAGACTTCTAGCCTCCAGAACTGTGAGAGAATAAATTTCTGTTGTTTTAAACAATGTAGCTTATAGTAATTTTTTTACAGCAGGCAACCCCAAGGGTGGGGGGAAATAATAAGAAAAACATAGAATTTATCAGAGGCAGAGACAATGGAGGAACCAGAGATACATGGGGAGAGAGAGACAGACTGACTGACACTGGAGGAAGAACAGGCTCTACCTACAATTAGGCTCTCCTCCTCCAGGAAGCCCTCTCTGATCCCCGAGACTGGGTCATTGCTGGCTGTGGACATCCCCAATGCCTTGTGCTACCTCCATTACAGCACAGATCCCACTAGAGGGGGTCTATGTCTCTACGTGTCCTCCCTCGAGGACCCAGGCCTGAACCATCTCTGGGTCCCCAGCATCACTCCACACAAGGCACATGGGGGCCCTCAGGAGAGAAATTGGGCATGATTATGAAAAAAATCTTCCTGCTATCTCTTCCTAGAGATTCTGGCTCCCTCCCATCAGCCTGGGAGATGCTTGAATTTTCTTCGAGGTCTTTCCAGTGAGGACTTTGCCTCCTCCGGGAAGTCTTCCTTGATTTCCCAGTCTGGGCCTTGTGCTGCCTCCATTATTACACATCATACCAAATGTGACTGTACCTAGGTCTCTCTCCTAGCCAACTCTCCCAGACTGGGAGCCCCTCCAGGGCAAGTTCCGGCTCTGACTCAGGTCTTAGCATTTCCCAGGGAGACCTCAGGAGAATATGTCGAATGAATGAATGAAGTAAAATATAGGGACTGTAGCATTCAGAAATGGGTTAAAAAAAATTTTTTTTTTTCGCATGGGGTTAAGGGAAGTCTTCCCCATGTAAATGATATTTTCCTGACTCTCTTTCTGTCCCCATACCCCTGTCCCTGGCTCAGACCTCATCTTCTCCCACCGGTGTCCTTTCCCCAGAGTTATAGTTAGGAAGTGGCAGAGTAGGGAAGTGGCACAGAGCCCAGCCTGGGAGATCAGGGAAGACTTCCTGGAGGTGAGCTCCTCACTCCCCATTCAGTCTCCTTCCCCCTCCAGTCTATCCTCCACAGACCCCAGGGGGTTTTTCTTCCCCTAGAGTTGACTGCCTCTTTCTAGTCATAGGTATCCCATAGCTTCCAGCACCCCTGGACAAAGTCCCCACCTCTCAGCCTTGCTTGTCATGACCAAATCCTTCTGCCCTTCAAGACCTACCTCAGATGTCACTTCCTCTGAGAGAAGTTACCTGACCTCCAGGCTGGGTTCAAGGCCTTCTCTGGGCTGTCCCAGTAAATTGAGCCATTTCAATGATTGTCCATATCACTGTTTCTCACACAGGACTGATTCTGCCCCTCCCCTGCTCATACACCTCCCATGGCTTCCCAGTGCCCTGGGGGAAAAAAACTGAGCCTTCAGTCTGGCGTTAGAGGCCCCCCGCATGCCTTGGCCACCACCAATCCCCAGTGTCATCTCTCTTTTCTTACCACACTAGGCCCTCTGGCCTCTGGACCTTTGCACAAACAGTTGCCTCTAACTGGGCTGTCTTTCCCAGTTTTCTGCTGGACAAATTTCTATTCAGACTTAATGTATTTCAGGAGTCTGCTCTTCTAGGAAGCCATGAGCAATGCTGAGGTGGGCAGCTCTGGAAGCCGCCTATGCTGCCTCCATATAACACACAAACAGAATGGGCTCAGTGCCCAGAGGCGGAGGGAATGGCCAGGCTGGAAGTGGGTCCCAGATGTGGATTTCACGCTTATTCGTCTCGGGCGTTGGGAACAAAGTTTGGGTCATAAGTAACATATGGGGCTTGCCCGCTCCTCACTTTCATCTCCTACCTCCCCAGCCCCTGGGTGGGAGGCAGTACAGCCAGGACTCTCTAGGCTTGGGTGTTTCTCACAGCCCCTCTTGGCCTCTTCACCCCTCTTTCCCTGCTCTCAATTCCCACTCCCTTGGGGAGCTTAGCAAAATTCTGTTGATCTATGTTCTAGCCTTCTGGGCTCTCCTTTTCTGGGGGAGGAATGGCCACTGGGCTTTTAAATAGTAACAACAAACTCAAATGGCTTTTACTCTTTGCCAGGGACAGTTATAAGCCCATGATATACACATATTAACACCTTTAATCCTCATGTTATACCCTGTGGGTTACGTCCTGTTATTATCATCCCCATTTTACAGATGAGGAAACTGAAGGACAGGGAGGGATTGAATCCAGATAGTCTGGCTCTAGAGTCCATGACCTTCATGAAAATGGTGTCTAGAGGAGTGCCATCCAATAGAACTTTCTGCGATGGTGGAAATTTTCTATATCTGTTTTGTCTAATATACTAGTCGCCAGCCACCTGAAATGTGGCTAATGCGACTGAGGAACTAAGTTTTAAAATGCATTTCATTTTAATTAATTTAAATTTAAATGTGGCTACTGTATTGGACAGCTCAGCTCTAAAGAACTGAGTCTGAATGCCAACTACTTGCTGTGTGATGGTTGCTAAGACGCCTTGCCTCTCTGAGCTAGTTTCTTCATTGAAGAGGTGGTTAAGAATTCTGGCCAAACCCAAACACCTGGGTTTGAATCCCTGCCCTCACCTCAATATGTAGTCCCCTTCTGAGCCTGAATTTCTTCATCTGTGTAATGGGAATAATAATAGGACCCGCCTATTTATTCAATAAATATTTATTGAGTACCTATTGTATTCTAGGGGCTACGATAATACCATCAATCAAAACAGACACAAATCCAAGGTCAAGGCAGCAGGAGGTGGGATGGAAGTTCATGGCCAGACATCTACTACTTTCAGTCTCAGCCTCTGTTTTCCTGGAAATGCCAAAAAGCTCCTCTGCTTAGCACCTCATGATGTCACAGTATGCTCTGGGTTCTGATTGGCTGAGGGCCTTACATAAAGCCAGGTAAGCTAATTTTCCCAAATATCCTTTCTCTAACCTTTCCTTGATGTCAAATATCTTTCCTTGATATCTTATTTAGCTGGGTCCAAGACAGCCCAGCATTAAAGGCTCATTTCCATCCTCTCTTGTAGCCAGGTGTGGTCATGTGACTAACTTCTGGCCAATGAGAACAGGGATTGTGTAGCAGCTTTTGGAAAACATCTTTATAAATCAGCTGTGTGGGCCTTTTGAGCTTTTTTCTTTGCCTTTCTCCATGTCTTGATACAGACATTGTAGCTGGAGCACTAGCTGCCATCTTGGACCATGAATACAAAGACCATTGTAAAGATGGTGGAGAGGAAAGCTAGAAGGTTCCTGGTGGCTTGACTATCTCCAGACCTCTTTTATGCAAGAGAGAAAAACATTTCTATTTTGTTTAAGCCACAGTTATTTGGGGTTTACTATGACTTCTAATTATACAGATCCTTGAGGCATCACTTCAGGTTCAGTTGGGCTGCAAGTTAGACCATTCATTGATTAGTTTTTCAACAAGTATTTATTGAGCATATACTATGTGTTATGAACCTTTCTAGATACAGGTGCTATAGCCGCGAACAAAACAAAATCCCTCCTCCCATGGAGCTCACATTCTAGTGGAAGAGATAGAGAAATAGCAAACGAAAAAGACAGATACTTAATATATCAGGTGGTGATAAGTGCTACAAAGAAAAATAAAGCAGGACAAAGCAATGAGAATGATTGGAAGGAGCTACTATTTAGTTAGGGTGGTCAGGGTAGTTCTCTCTGATGCTGTGGAATTTGAGCAGAGCCACATGGTGGAAAATTCTAGTCCTCACCCATGTCCAGTTGTGGTAGGCAGAATAATGGTGTCAACACCCAAAGATGTCCACACCCTAATTCTTGGAACTGGTGACTATTTTACCTTACATGGCAAAAGGTACTTTGCAGAGTTGATAAAGATTAAGGATCTTGAAATGGGGAGATTATTCTGGATTATCTGGGTGGGTCCCATCTAATCACAAGCATCTTTAAAAACAGAGAACCTTTCCCACCTATGTTCAGAAAAAAAGATATGAGGACAAAGAGTCAGGAGAAATTTGAAGTGTGAGAAGGACTCCACATGCCATTGCTGGCTTTGAAGATGGAAGAAGGGGCCATGACCCAAGGAATGCAGGGGGCCTTTAGAAGTTAGGAATGTAAAGGAAACATATTCTCCCTAAAGTTTCCAGAAGGAATGCAGCCCTGTTGACACCTTGATTTTAGCCTAGGAAACCCGTGTTGGGCTTTTGACTTATAGAACTGTAAGATAATAAATTTGTTTTGCTTCAGCTGCTGAGTGTGATAATTTATTATGACAGCAATAGAAAACTAATACACCGGTTCTTCTCTCTTTTGGAGCACATAAGGGAGTTCTACTTCCCCACCTTCATGCAATTAGTTGGAACCATGTGAGCAATCTTGACCAATGAGCTGTGAATGGAAGGGCTGGAGTCATTCCTGGGCCAAAGCATTTATCTCTTGGTGTGGGACCATTTAGTGCTCTCTTTCTCCCTGTCATAGTAATCAAGGATGCCATAGGTTGCGGTTGGTGCAGTGACAAGATGGTAGATTCTTCTCGGCCTGGGTCCTTCAATGACGTGTGGAAAATTGCCCCTTGCTGACATTGCATAGGGACATGTAGATGAGCAAGAAATCAACTTTCATTGTGTCAAGCTAACAGAATTAGCCTAACCTGACTAATGGAGGGCTACAGACTCCTGATCTGTGCTGAGTGGATCTCTGAGGGGCAAATGAAGGCCTTGAGTAAATCTGCGGAGCCAAAGTATGGCTACCACTTGCTGACAAAATGGCCAATCCAATGAAAGAGTTTACATGGCGTCACTAAATGCTGGTCAATTGTGTTGCCTGATGATTGGCTAAAAGCGATGAATGGTAGCTGGAAAAGGCAGGAAATTCCTCAAGATTTAAGACTTTATTGAGAGAACTAGCTGCATAGGTCTCAGGCCAAATGTCCTAGCCAGAGACCAAATGCCCTGCTTGCAGTTGGCCGCTTTTGGTTAGACAGCCCTCATGCCTGCACACTGCTGGCGCGTGCTAGTGATGTCAGAGGCTCCGCGACGTCTGATTGGCTCACTAAGGGAAGCACCGTCGAGGTAAAAGTCTCCCCTTAAGGTCTCTTCCAAGTTGCTTGGTTGGCTTTTGAGGCCACTCAGCTGCGGTTCTAGTCCTCAGGCCTGAGGCTCAGGTTGGAGGCTGCAGGCTGTTGCAGCCCCCGGCATGCTCCTCCTGCTGCAGCCGCCGCAGTGGCCGGGCCCAGCGCGGCCTCCAGGGCAGCGCGAGGCTGTGACGGTCGAGGACGAGGCGCACAGGGTCAGGGTCGCCAGCCGCGCTGCCCAGCAGCAAGTATTCTGTGCCGGGCTGCAGGCGCAGGCAGCCGCAGGCCAGGTCGGCACTGGGCACCCAGGCCTCCTGGCCGCCCCGGTGCACGGACGGCTCTCGCTGTTTGTACACAGCCAGCACGCGCAAGGCCAGCCGCTTCCATGCCGAGTCCACCACCTCAGATGCCAGCACCTGCGCACGAAGAACTGCAGGAAGGGGAGATGTCAGGCCTGGGTGGTGGAGAGCCTCCATGGTCCCCTGGGTCAGTCCTGATGGGGAAGGGCCTGGGACCTGAGGGTGGGCTTCCTGGCTCAAGTCTGTGGGAATGAGGCTGAGGCTCAGACTTGGGACCTTGAAGGGAGGCAGAGGGGGTCTGAGGTGGGCAAGACAGGGCAGAGGTCTGTTCCATTCAACCAGTTCCCCCTTCTTCCATCCCCAGGAGGCCACCTTCCTCTCTCAGACATGTCAGGCTGAAGGAGATAGTGAAACTCTGGCAAGGCCAAGAACATAGGGAAGAAGGAGACACACCAGGGTAGGTAACACCCCCTCTCCACTGCCCCTTCCACCCATTTGTCTTCAGTTCCATTAGATCCTAGATCAGCGAGGACCCTTTAGAATCTAACACCCCTTCCCATTTAAGATGAGAAAATGAAGGCCAGAGAAGGGGGTGGCATGGAGGCAGTCATCAGAGCACATATGCAGCCACCGGCCCTTTTTCTCCCCAGCACTCACCGTAGTCCTGCTGGCAGTACCTCCGAAGGCTCATATGTACCCTGGTGTCCGAGATATTGCAGTAGTTGTGACACTGAGGGTCTGGGGAGGGTCAGGCTGTCTGCAGTGGGCTCCTGAGGCAGCGTTCTGCCCCTGCCCGTCCCCGCATTCCATCTTGATGGACAGCTGGGGTGCCCAAACCCTGGGACTGAGTTCAGAGGGCCACCCCTGTATCCCCATGGGGTGGGGCATCAATCAGCCCATCCCCGATCCCTCTTGCTGCCAGGGATCTCCATGCTAGCCTGTCTTACCAGAGCTGTAAGCACTTGGGGTCGTAGCAAGGGTGGTTGTTGCCTCTGGGATTCCTATGAGAAACCAAAGGAAAAATTTAACCTTAGTCCCTGCCCCCATCACACACACAAGGATTCCAAATATCCATCTATTTCCTTAAGGTCCAAGAGGGCAAACACCTTCTGCCCTTCTCACCAGGACCTGGTGTCCTGGTCCCTAGCCACTTCTTCCTTCAGACCCAGGAATCTGGAGCCTGAGCCCCCTCCTCCCTCAGACCCAGGAGTCCAGGCTTCCAGCTTCTTCCTCCCAGAGACTGAAGAGACTGGAATTAGAGTTCCTACTTCCCCAAGGATGCAGAGTTTAGCCGTCAGCTTCTAGCTCCCATCACCCAGGGACCCAGCCCTCACCATGCTTGTCCACTGGAGATCTGGGATGTCTTCTCCCTCCCCCACCCACCCCCACTTAGGACTTGTGGCCCCTTAGGACTCACGCTGGCAGGGCATCCTGGGGGAGCGGCTCTGCTGGTAGCCAGGACCACAGCGGTTGCATGTCAGGCCAGTGACCCCTAACTTGCAGGAGCACTGCCCGCTGGTCTGGTTACAGGTGCCACCTGTTGCCCCAATAGGGTGGCACTGGCAGGCTACATGAAGACAGGATCTTCGATGTGGGTGTCTGGGCCCTAGATGCTCCCTCCCAATTCCCCAGCCCCTCCTCCCTTACACCCAGAAGTCAGGATCTCCAGCCCCACCTCCCTCAGACCCAGGAGTTTGGTCCTGGCTCATTTCCCCCTAGGCTGGGCTTCAGACGGCACTCACCCCGGCAGGCCTTGCGGCTAGTAATAGGCTGGCTGGGGTCCCTCCAGAACCCTGGCTGGCAGTAGTGGCAGTGCCGCCCAGCTGTGTGGTGGCGGCATTGCTCGCAAATACCCCCACTGCGGCCGCCTGACAACCTGAACAGCTCGGAGTTAAACCTGCAGCGTCGGGCATGTTGGTTGCAGGAGCAGGCTAGGAGCAAGACGGAGCCAAGGCACATCAGACTAGGGCTTTCTGTTCCCTGCCTTCCCCCCACTGCCCTCAGGAAATAGAGTGTGAGTACAATGTAAAAGAGACTGCCTGGGGGTCCCTGGTTAAGCCTGGGTTCCAGAACCTCTTCATTCTCATCTTTAAAATGGGGGCACTGAACTGGAGCAGGGTAAGCCTGAGGGGACTGATGAACCTTCTGATTGTGTGAAACCAGGGTGGGGAGGGGTAGGAGGTTGGAGGGTGGCTTAAAGAAGAGTAGCAGCTACGGGTGTGGGCTATGAAGTCAGACCCCAGGTGTTCGTGTTCCACTGTGTTCCTTGGGCATGTGACTTCTTTTGGTAGCTCAGCTTCCTTTGCCGTAAAATGACATTTATAATATTCATGAGGTTTAAATGAAATCTAATAGACGTAAAGTACTTAACCCAGGGCCTAACACCCAGCATGTACCGGCCCGTTTAGAGCTTCCACGTGCCAGGTGCCACGTGCTGAGTGCCTGGCATGTTGCATTCTCACAGCAGCTCTGTGAGACTGGTGCTATCACCACCCCCATTTTACATAGGCAAAAACTGAGGCACAGAGAATTGAAGTCACCAGCTCAAGGTAATGCAGCTAAGGGGTAGTCAGAGGCAGGATTGGAACCCTGCTTACAGGTCCATTGTCCATGCTCTTAGCAGCCACACTCCAGTGCTTCTCACATAGCCCACAGGATTCTGTGAGGGTTATGTGTACATTTTCCTGGGAGCATCGATCAGGTGTTCTAAGGCAATGCCTCTCAAACCCTACTACTTATCAGAATTACCAGGGCAGTGTTTAAAAAGAACAACACGAATTCCAGGGCCCACCTCCAGGGCTTCTGCTGGGCCTGGGGATCTGTGTTTTTAGTGAGCATCCCAGAGTGAGGGGCTGATTCCGGGGGTTCACGGACCACTCTTTGAAGAGATGGAAGGAGTTTTGGACTCCCAGAGGTTTGAGAGGCTTGAGGGCCCAAAGGAGTAGTGTGAAGGTCAGGGATCTGTGGCAGCAGTGTGTTCTTGGGAAAATGGCTCTGCCTCTCTGAGCTTTGGTTTCCTACCTGTCTGGTGGGGATCTCAATTAGAGGTTGCAACACTATTAAGATTATCAGTGGATAATCAGTAGGCTTTGGATTCTTTCTGACCTGAGAGTAATCATGTCACCTCACTTCCCTCTGGAAAACTTAGATGGGGAAGGGGTTCAGGCCACCATGTCTGTAAAGCTCATAGCTTCGCCACAGGAGTTAGTCTCACCTTGTCCGCCCAGACCCTTCTTCATCACAACACCATTGGTCTACCCAGATTCAGAGGGCAGTGCCCAGCTCAGCCTGGGGGGATGTGGTGTGCCTCAGAGGGTCAGCCTCCCCAGCTCCCAGACCTTGTCCAAACCCAGGATGAGCCCCACTGCACCCCAGGCCACATGAGTCTCCACCCTCCCCAGGCCCCCTGCCTCACTCTGTGGAGGGGGCGGGCTTCACATCTGACTGGTGGGAATGGACCAACTGAACAGAGGCCCTGAGGGGGCGGGGGAGGAGGGTCAAGGAAGACCTCAGTGGGGATGAGGATAGAGTGGCGAACCCAGGATAACCAGATGGTCTGTAAGTTAGACCACATGACATTGCAGGAAGAAATAGAAAGGGAGGGGGCAAAGAATGTGGAAGGTGGAGAGAGAGGGAGGTCCAGGGAATGAGAGAAAGAGAGAAACTGTGGGGAGGAGGGGAGAGGAGAATGGAGTTAACTCCGAGGGCCTGGTGTGTGTGTGTGTGTGTGTGTGTGTGTGTGTGTGTGTGTCTGTCTGTCTGTCTGTCTGTCTGTCTGTCTGTCTATGTGTGTCTGTCTGTGGAGTGGTGTTATTGCCCAGGGCCTGGTAACACACTCAGACCCTCTAGCAACGGCTGCAGGCTGGAGGTTGGAGGAGGGCCCAGACTCCGGAAGCTCCAGCTAGGAGCCCTATGGAGGGGAAAGAGCGTTGAGTGGACCTGGGGAGCGCTGGTCCAGCCGGATGACCTGGGGGATAGCCCAGCATCTAGGAAGGCCTGTCTCCCCGAGTTCAGTCTCAGCGCTGCCCCTTGCTGGCAGTGAGACTTAGGGCAAGCGACTGTCCCCTCAAGCCTCACCTTCCTCACCTGGGGAATAGTAACACTGGCACACTCTCAGGAAGCTCTTCCTTTGTGCCAGGTACCATATGAAGCTTTATTCTAAGGGCTTTATGTATATTATTAACTCACTGAATTTCCACTGCCACCTGTAAAGGAAGTGCTGTGACTACTCCCACTTTACGGATGAGGAACTAGAGGCACAGAGAGGTTGACCTTGCCTGGTGTCACACAGCCAATAAACAAGAGGCGGTGGAATTTGAGCCCAGGCAGCCTGACTCCGGTCTGCTGTCCTAGAGCATCTAGTGTGACAGTTCCTGACAGGAGTTGGCAGGGACAAGCCAAGACTCCCAAGCTCGGCATCTGGCCCTGCCACTTACTTACTGGCTGTGTGTCGTTGCACAAGGAACTTCCCATCTCTAGCCTCAGTCTCCTCATCTGTAAGATGGTCCTGATGACAGTACCTGCCTGGCACATAGCAGGGATTGATATGTATGTATTTAATTAATAAATCCTTCCCCCATGTGGTTGATTGGACGAGTTAGGAAAGGTCCAGCTGCCCTGTTCCCTACAACCATTCAATAAATATTACCAGAGCACCTGCAACCAGCCAGGCCCTGGGCTGGATGCTCAGGAAATGTTCTTCATATTATCATCATCGTGAATGAGTGTTGGGGAGAGACTAGAGCCCCCTAACTGGGGCTGGAAGTCCGAGGTAGCAGAGATGCAGAGCAGGCAGGTGGGGGTGCTTGAAAGGGGAGGTGAAGAGGGGATCTAGCTGGAGAACAGTGAGGGGAAAAGCAAGGAACCAGTAGCTCTGGGGAGGGAAAGAGCACCCTGCCCCTCAGGGACAAGGGACCAGTTGCTGGAGAATCAGGGGGCCTGTTGGTGGGTGAGGGCGGGGAGTGGGGCCCAAGACTCACGCAGGCAAGGGTGGGGGTGCCAGGGTGTGGCGGGCCGCCAGGGCCAGTCGCGGTGGGATGGACGGCAGCTCTCGCACCCAGGGCCGGTGGTGTGGTGGCGGCAGCGACAGCGGGGCGGCCGGGCACGGGCAGCACAGCGGGCAGCGTGGCCGTGGCACTGGCAGCGGCCTCTCACTCCAGCTGCTGCCAGCCCTGCCCGGCCTCCAAACTCCACACGGAGGTGACTGGCTACCACATTGGCCTTAGAGCCAGGTGGGGCACGGAAGGTCACCTTTTCGGGGCCCCCCAAGGCCCCAGGCCAGGCCGGTCTGCGCCACAGTGATCTCCAGGGACCTCCGGTAGCCCAGGCGGCCGACAGGACCAGGGCCGGGGGTCCTGGAGTGCAGAAGCGCAGACTGACAGAAGACAAGAGGAAGGGGCCTCCCAGGGCCAGGGTCAGACTGCCATTACAGGTGGCCCGGGAGCTGACCTCCGCCCCCGCAGAGAAGGCGCAGGTCTGGGGACAGGAGGCCGCCATGCCAGCCAGCTGGGTCACTGGTGGGAGGCAGAAGCGGGGGCGGCCCCCTGGATGGTAGCATGGGTCTGAGGTGGCCTGGCTCAGGAGGAACAAGAAGGTGAAGGTCAGGGGCATAGTCTCAGCAGGGGCAGGTACCTAGAGAGAGGAGAGGAGTGCACAGACTGAAAGCCTCAGGCTGCCCTCAAGTGTCAGCCTCCACCCTGCTCACCCAGGCCCCCTGAGGACCCCAGCATTCCACCCCCAACCCAGCCCAAGCCCCCTCCCCATGGCTTCTAAGCGAGGAAAATAGTTCCATCTGGGGAGAATTACTGTTTACACAACCCAAAGGGGAAAGAACGCAAGCAAAATTGAGAATTTTGCCTGAACTAATCCGTAGCTTAACACCCCAGAGCAATCTGTCAGTGTTGAGGTGCAGGGGCCCTGGGGAGAGGGCAAGGGGGCAGATGAGGAAACTGAGGGAGGGCACCAGGGGGAGTGGTGTCAGGGCTGGGCAGGAGAGAGGGATTAGAAATGGAAGAAGCTCCGAGACAAAGGAATAGAGAAACAGACAGGGGCACAGCCAGCAGAGACAGACAGAGGGAAAGGAGATGCAAATTTAGGAGTAGGGGCAGACGCAGAGAAAGAGCCATGAGGAGAAAAGACGGGCACCAGAGGAGGCCAGGAGGCACAGAGAGACAGTGAGTAGGGGAGTCCACAGGGAGTAGGGGAGAACAGGGCCCCAGGGAGCCTGAGGGCCAGGACAGACAGACCAGCAGGTGGGCGGGCTCAGAGGCACCCCACAGCGAAGAACAGACAGCCCGGCAGGCTGGTGGGAAGGGAAGGAGGGGAGGGGCAGGGGTGTCCGGCAGGCAATCAGAAGCAGGAGGCCAGGCCCCGGCCCACAGGGATCAGAGCAGGGGCCCTTTCCCACGTGGGGCCCTAACCTTGTTTTCCACACCCAGGGCACGGAGGGGATTATGGCCAAACCACCTGGCCTCCCTGCCACCCACCCCCCAGCCTCCACCACCCTTAACCCTTTCTCACCCAGGTGCAAAGCCCAGAGAACCGCGCTAAGGAACAGGACCAGGACGCCCCGGGCTGGAAGCCTGGGTCGCTCTGGGGCTAGAGAGTGGGTGTAGAAGCTGTGTGGGGTCAGGAAAGCAGAGACCTGGGTTCCCCTTAGGTCTCCAGGTGGGACGACACTGTGCTTGGATTTCTGAAGACTGGCTCAGACCTCCGCCCGTTATCCTAGGCCTCAGGGTCCAGGGATCCGAGACTCTACGTTCTCCCTATCTTAAGGGAGGTGGGGGAACAAATGATGGGGGTGGTGGGTGCTAAGGGAGGAGAGAAAGAGGCAACACAGTGCAGGGCGAGAGGCCAGGATGTCCGAGAAGGCCAGAAGTCCAGAACCCCAGGATGGTAGGAGCTAAGAAGGACTTGGTGCTGAAATACACCCCCACCCCCACCGCCTCATCCCCACCCACCGCTTTCCCCTCCCAGGGCTGCCAGCCCCTAGTGAGGAACTCACTCAGGTCTGCAGGCCCCGGCGCTTTTCTGGACCCCACTGCCCAGTCCCCTGACTCTGAATCTGGACCGGACTAGGAGTCTGTGAGGCACCTGGGGGTGCAGGTGGGGTCATATCCTCTCCCAGCCTGATTTCACAGCCCCCAGTGTCCTCACTGCTGTTACCATGTGAAAAGACCGCCTCCCCTTGTCCCCGAGTACGGGTATCACCCTCCTCCCCTCCGGAGGAGCCTGGCGCCATTTTGCGCTCTGGAGGCCGGCATTTGCCCACAGTCCGTCAGTATCAGGACCCTGTTAAGGACCTAGCCCCATCTCCCACCTCTCCTCTCTTGCATGGGTGGTTCAGGTGTTACCACTTTTCGGCCCTTAGCACCTTGGGCAATAAGACTGTGAGTCCCTCAGTACTCCTGGGGGATCCAGAAGCCAGCCCTTGCCCACTGGGGAACCCAGATGTCCCGTCCCCAGCCTCTACCCCTTCTGGGAGCAGGAGCCCACCCACAGCCCCTTTAAGGAACAGAGTCTAGCTGTGCTCCCACCAGACCCATAGTCAGGCCCCTATGCCTGAGCAGCATGGGGTCCATCTGGGACCCATGCTCCTTTTTCCTTACTTTTTTGCAAGCACCCTGCCCTTCACCCCTTACACTGGCAAACCTGCACCCAAGAGGTGAGTGTCCTCTGCAGTTAGTTCCTCATGTGTTCTTCCCTCCTGCAGGAGCCTGGCGGCTGGTGTGGGCTCTCGGGAGTGTGTTGAGTGGCTGTTCTCAGGCCCCAGGCTAGTGGAGGTTCTGGGCGGGAGCTCAGAGCAGAGCTGGCAGAATCCAACACCACCCCCCACCCCCCACCCCCGCCCAATCCCCTCGCCAACCACAGCCACCTTCTCCCCGCAGGGACCCCTGCCTGCCACACCATCCAGGACTGTGGGGGACCTGAGAGCTGTCATCCCCAGGGAACCTGAAGCCAGACAACCTGGAGGAGGCTGGCCGAGGAGGCCCAAGGCAGGTAGGACAGGACGGGACAGCGACCAGATGGGCTTGCCGGGTCTGGGGTTCCCACGGCACTCACACTTACCCCCCTGGAATGATGCGCGCTGCTCAGCCCCACCACGTGGTGGCGGCCAGGGCCACGCACACTGAGGTGGGACATTGGCCCCTGGCTGGGTAACCCCAAGGCAGCCCTCCTCCCGTCTGGAACCTTCTGTCAGCTGTGGGTTAACTGAGCGTTAAGGTCAGTTACTTTCAAGCCCTAAAAATCAGTACTCTCGGAAGAATCAGACCAGCCACCAGAATACCCAGACTACAGCTGCTTTCTAAGACAGTGAGAGCTGAGGTGAGATAAGAACGCCTCAGTCCTCAGTGGTTCTAGTGGCCGGAAGGAGAAAGCGGGGGACCCTGAGTGGGACAGAGTTCAAAGCCAGCCTGCCCCACGGCCAGTTTCCTGCTAGGCCTCAATGCTTCAGTTGTGAAATTCCCATGTGATATTGCTGTAAACTGTGTTACATACCAAATGGTTCTGACTAGAAAAAGAACGTTTTCCCATCACTCCTGCTGAGAAAAGCAAGAACCTGGGAGGATGGGGCACTTTATTTGCTGCCATGGCCTTGAGTGCCTCCTGGCATTGACTGTGGCACAGCATTGGCCCAACCTGAATAGGGGTTTGGGGACCCACTGTCCGAAACGTGCCCTGGGGGGCGGGAGGGCACAGCCAAGCAGTCCAGGTGACCCTCAGTTGCCATGGTGGAGGGGCCGACCCCGGTGGAAGCCAGGACAGGAACATTGGATTTCAAAGTAAACTGTGAGGAATTAGCTGCAAAAGAAAGGGATTGGGGACAGACACCCGCCCCCCCCCCAAATCAGAGGGGCGGACAGGGCAATGTATAGCAGTATGGCACTCATCCATTCAATAAGTACCTTCTGTGTGTCAAGACTCTCTGCTGAACACACGTGAACACACATGAAACACTCACAAAAATCCCGCTCTTGTCAGGGTCATAATCTAAAGCAAGGAGAGATCACTACAGAAAAGTAATAAGTAATTACATTCTAGAACATGGTGGAAGGTGACAAGTGCTTTGGAGCAAAAGCAAGTAGGGAAGAGGATGCAGGGGGCAGGGTCCTCAGGGGACATTTGGGCTGTGACCTGAAGGAGAGAGGGCAAGCCTCGTGGGGATCAGGGCAGGAACGGCCCAGGCAGAGGGAACGGTGGTGCATATTCTGGTTTTGTTGCCAAAGTTCAGGAAGAAGGCTTAGGTCTCGCTAGCTTTTCCTCCTCACCCAGGGACAGAAGTTTCTTAAGCTAATGTTACCAGGAGGGAAGCTATTCTTCCCTTTTCTTCTTAATAGCCTGAGCTGCTGGAGGCGATTAGCACCCCTGAGGGTGCCTGGGGAGGGGGAGGGGGACAAGAAGTCAGAGCCAAGAGGGAACAATTCCCTAAGTTGAATGGGGGGGGGTCCCCAAGTATTGGGCAACTTCATCCTTATAGTTCCCCAGAGAAGAGAGAGGGGCCCCCAAGGCACAGCTCTGAAATGGGCTCAACAGAGCTCTTTTATCCCTGTTTTGGTGACTCAGAAATAGCAGAGGCCCCACAAGACAGGGCAGGTCAAACCCCGCATGTAACTGGACAGAGAGTGTGCAGCTGAGTGCTTGCAGTTCAGGACATACTTGAAAAATCCGGGTGGTAATTGAGAGCATGGATTCCTGAACAATACTGCCTGGGTCCAGATCCAGGCTCTACCTCGTTCCCAGCTGTGTGACTGGAAGCAAGTTTCTTAACATCTCTGCGCCTTAGTTTCCTCATCTGTTAAATGGGTATAAAAATGTACCTTCCTCAAAGGAGATCATGAGGACTAAATGAGCAAAGACAGGCCTATAGTCTTGTATCTGAAACTCTTTGGACCAGATATTGAGAACCTGTGTTTTGGCACTGCCACGGGGTGCACAAACAGTACATTACATTACATAGCTCCCCTGGTGGGGTCTGAGCAGCATCTCATAATCAAACGTTATTGTTTCTGCAGCAGAACACACTGACATCTGAGCTAAGATAAGTAAAGTCTAAAAATAGCCACGCATTGGTTCAGGTCAGATTTTGTCCCCAAATGACAGGTTTCAATGCAGGTTGGGGTTTGCCACTAATTTTAGGAAAAGAGCCGATAAGGAATTGTGACTCAGGGTAGTAGTAAGCGCTGGGACCAGTGCCCGGCACGTGGCAGCAACCACAGAAGCATCAGCTTTGAGTAATTACTTTCTGTGGCTTTTTATTGGGTTGTCAGAAAAGTCATGATGTATTTTTTTATGTTTTTCATTGCAAAAATGCATCATAACTTTCCCGACAACCCAATAGTTTTTTATGCTGATGAAAAGCCAGGAGAGGGAGCTCTTGAGACTCAAGGACAGAGGGTGGCAACAGGTCTGGCTTCCTGATTTGCAGAGCCCGGTGCAAAATGAAAATATGAGGCGCCCCCTTGAAACGTATGGAGAATTTCTAGACAAGGGGATCAGAGCATTAAACCGAACACAGGGCTCTTTTGAGTACAGGGCCTGTGCAACTGCATGGGCCACACACTGTGGAGGTGGCCCTGGGTGGTGGTATCTTTGTCTTGAGCTGGTTTCTCCTCCCCAGTTGCCAAGGTTCCAGTCCCCGCTTAGCTCTGGCTGGGAGAACTGGCTAGAGGCTGAGTCCTCCTCCATGTAGGACCTCAGGCAGGACCTGAACTGGGCAGGCAGGCAGTGTGATAAGGATTGGGACAGAGTTGTCACCAGACCAGTGAGAAGAGAGGCCCAGGAGCATACTTAACTTGCTTTTTGGAAACTAAAGCAGCAAACAAGGCATTTGTTGCACAGATGCTCCTCGACTTATGATGGGGTTCCATCCTGATAAAATTCAAAATATCATAGCTCGAGAATGCATTTAATACACCTAACCTACAAAACATCATCGCTGAGCCCAGACAATGCTAAACTGCTCAAAACACTCACATTCGCCTACAGTTGGGCAAAGTCATCTCACTGCCGCTGCCCAGCGTCATGAGACAGTGTCGTACCTCATATCACTAGTCTGGGCAATGATCAAGACTCACAATTCGAAGTATGGTTTCGACTGAATGTGTGTTGCTTTTGCACCATCGTAGAGTCTGTATGCAATATATACACACCCATACAATCCAATGTACACATGTCCATTTGTATGCACACAGTTTCACACACACTATATATACACAAACATACACACCATATATACGCATTCAGTGCACATAACCATGCGTACACACACAGTACATATGTATCCACATGTGTAAACATGCAGTATGAACCCGATGTAAACACAGCCACATAACACACACTCTAAAGACAAACCTGCATACAGGTAAAGATGCACAAAGTACACCCACATGCACACGCACCCACATGATGTCTGCACACACAACTGCATTGCCTACTCTATGCTCCGCCCAGGGCCTCCATCCTCGCGCTAACGTCCCCTGCTCTCCCTCCCCTGACAGCCATGCTCAGCACTCGGGGGCCTCTCTTCTTCCCCATGGCCCACTTCATCCTCTTCGTCTTCATGGCTTCCACCATATTTCACCTTCAGCAGCGGCTAGGGAAGATTCAGCGTTCGTGGGAGGTCCAGATGCTGGAATCAGAGAACGCCACAGGTCACCTGTCCAGGGGCATGTGGACGATCAACGCAGTAGGCCGCCTGGGGAACCAGATGGGCCAATATGCCACCCTGTACGCGCTGGCCAAGGTGAACGGGCGGCCGGCCTTCATCCCGGCCCAGATGCACCGCATGCTGGCCCCCATCTTCAAAATCACCCTGCCCGTCCTGCACCGCGCCATGGCCCGAAGGATCGTGTGGCAGAACTACCACCTGAACGACTGGATGGAGGAGCAGTACCGCCACATCCCGGGGAAGTACGTGCGCTTCACCGGCTACCCCTGCTCCTGGACCTTCTACCACCACCTCCGCGACGAGATCCTCCAGGAGTTCACCCCGCACGACCACGTGCGGGAGGAGGCCCAGAGTTTTCTGCGGCGCCTGCAGGTGAATGGCAGACGGCCCGGCACCTTCGTGGGGGTCCACGTGCGCCGGGGGGACTATGTCCACATCATGCCCAAAACGTGGCGTGGCGTGGTGGCCAACCGGCAATACCTAGAGCAGGCCCTAGATTGGTTCCGGGCTCGCTACAGCTCCCCCATCTTTGTGGTCTCCAGCAATGGTATGGCCTGGTGTTGGAAGAACATTGACACCTCCCGTGGTGATGTGGTGTTTGCTGGCAATGGCGCTGAGAACTCGCCTGCCAAGGACTTTGCATTGCTCACGCAGTGTAACCACACCGTCATGACCATTGGGACGTTTGGGATCTGGGCTGCCTACCTTGCGGGTGGAGAGACCATCTATCTGGCCAATTATACCCTCCCAGACTCTCCATTCCTTAAAGTCTTTAAGCCAGAGGCAACCTTCCTGCCAGAGTGGATTGGAATCAATGCAGACCTTACCCCACTGCTCAAGCACTGACATTAGGCTGTCCTTGGCACCCCCTTCTCTTTTTCTGGCTCCCCTAAATCAGTCCCAAAGCATAAGGAGCACATTGTTACATGTACTAGGATCCTTCCTTCTTGCATTAGAATGCTTCAGGTTGAAAGTAACAGAAGTTCCAACTAACTTGTTTAATGAACATATTCATGTATTTCTCACAACAAGACCAGAGGTGGCACATCTCCAGGGTTAGCTAACTCAGCAGCTCAACAATGTTATCATTGATCCCAGTTCCATCCATCTTGTTGAGCTGCCATTATCTCCTCTTAGGCTGGCTCCCTCATGGTCCCAAGAGGGCTGCCACATACCCAGGTGTCACATGCAGACAATCTCTTCTCAAGGCAACAAAAAGAGGTTCATTCTTATCTTAGGTTTATTTTGAAGAGTGAGGGGAACCTTCCAAAGCCCTCCAGCAGCTTCCCAGAAGTATGTCATATGTCCATGTGACCTGTTACAAGGTAAGATGAATGAGACCTTGGGATTGGCTTAGCCTTAGATCAATAAATCTTTGCCCCCTGCAGCTGGGGAGTTGAACAGTTTCCTCTGAAGGACATGACAGCTTGCAGAAAGAAAACTGGGGTGCTCTTACCAAGGAAGAGGGCAGGAATGTATATAGAGAGTACAAATTAGGAAAGCAGGTTGTTTACTACATAAAGGCCAAGGAGGCAAGTGGGGCTTAAATAGAGTCATGATCTACTCTCCAAGCCATGTGTCCTTGGGACCATGGCCACCCTGAGAGCTTTTTTCCCTAGCTAGTCCACCCAGATGGGGGACCTTTTTTCCAGTCTTCACAAGAACACCACATTGGCTAGCAGCTGGTGTTTATCCAAGACCATATGCCCCACATCAGCAGCCCTGGCTTCCTAGGGCCTCGGATGATTATTGTTGAGAATTCAGAGACCAGCATGGCTCAATGAACTTGAGGAGAGTCCATTCATTCTTTCAGTAAATGATTGTGCTGGTGAATCTAACTGGCCTAGGATCCCTGCTTTCAGGGCTGCTTAGTGGCTTAAACATAGTGGCTTAAAACGACAGCAATTTTTTATTTCCCACAGTCCTGTGGGCCAGTTGGGTAGTTCTCTGCTCTATGCAATGTTGGCTGAAGTCCCTTAGGCAGCTGAATTTATGTGGAGCTCACTTGGAGCATCTCAGTCTCCTCTATGTGGCCTGTCCTGCAGGAAAGCTCGGTCTTCCTCACAACATGGCTTTCCATTTGTTTGCTGGAATACTCATTCTTGGAGCCCTCAGTCATCATCATGTAAGAAGTCCAACTACCTGAGGCTGCCATACTGTGAGGAAGCCCAGCCCCACTGACGAGCCACATGTAGGTGCTCCAATTAAGTCTTAGCTGAGGCAAACTTCAAGTCATCCCAGCCCACGCATCAGATATGTGAGTGAAGAAGCCTCCAGATGATTCCACAGTTGTTCAAGTCAACCTATCATTTAGAGTGATCCAGATGAGGCTCCTGACAACATGTTGCCGAGACAAGCTATATTTGAATTTCTGATTCACAGAATCTATGAGCATAATAATACGATTGTTTTATGCCACTAAGTTTTGAGGTAGTCTGTTTTGCAGCCATAGATAACAGGAACAAACTGAATATTCTCTGTATTTGCAGACATTTGCATGACTTTGGCATGAACTAAGCCAACATGAGTTTTCCTGCCCAACTTGAGATCTTATGTGCAAAGGCCCTGTGGCAAGGGGGAGTCTCTTTATACATGAGAGTGAAACGAGGCCAGTGTGGTTGGAGCACATGGAGCCAGATGTGGGTGGAGCGTTAGCAGGGTCAGACCATGAAAGGCCTTGTGGACCATGACAAGGATTTTGGGTTTTAATCTAGGACCAATGGGAAGCCATAAGAGAGTTTCAATTAGGGGAGTGACATGATCTGATTTGTTGTGTGGACATACCCAGCTGCTATGTGGAGGAAGGGCTGTAGGGACATATTGAGGCAAAGAGACCAATGAAAAGGCTACTGTAACATTCCCAGCAAGTAATGATGGTGGGCCACGGAGGTAATGATGGAAGTAGTGAGAAGTCTTATTTCAAGGACCCAACAGAGATTCCCAGTGTCTCTCTGCCCCGGTTTCACATTCCTGAGTCAACCTGATTGCTTCAACTAGGTTGATGTTTGAGTCAAGCATTCACCATAGGCCCGTTACCTAAGGCCATGGGGAAGGTGCACCTAAAACAAACATGGCTGCCATGTTTGTAAGGGAGTTAGTTTCAAGAGAAGAATGTAAGAATTGGGAAGATGCTCCAAAAAATGAGTACATAGGACAAAAAGGTTTGCCACTCCCATTGAAGGGACTGAAGCAAGTCATGGGTCACACCCATTTTCAAAGAGGGCCATCGAGAGCAGCCTGTCCACATGCCCTAGAATATTTATGCACAGTCCTAATGACTACCTCACATGTCTGTACAGTCTCTCTCGGTGGTTCTCTTGGCGCCCCTCTCTTTTGGTATGGAAGGGGCTGCCACAGTACTAATTAGGCTAATAGGCCTTTGCCTCCATAACTTTATTTGAGGGATCCCCTTTCAAAGTGCTAGTCTTATTTAATACAGATTGAATGGGTAGTGGTCGCTGAACCATGTTTTGCTATTTATATCAGTCAATCAATCAATCAATCAATCCTATGTTGATTTATTAGTTTGGCATTCTCTCTTTTTTAATGTACATTTAAAAATGTATTTTGGGGCACATTTTACATGCTTCTAAATTAAAACAATGTCAAGGTTGGTTGTAGTTTTCAAAGATGGCAGTGGCAACCTCTCGCCTTAATTTCAACCTCTCAAATCTTCCTCTGCACATCCCCAGAACACTATCCGTTTACTTCGATTCAAAACTTGAACTTACTGTTGATTCTTTCTTGCACATTCCATCCACCAGCAAGTTCTGTCAGTGTTACCTGCAAAATATACCCTGAATCTGAACTTGTTTTCCTCCTCTATCATCTGTCCAAGCCACCACCATCTATGCCTGGACACCTGCAAAATATTTTATACAGAGAAACAAGGTAGTAAACCCCATATGCCTGTTAGCCAATTCAACAATTTCAACATTTTCCTACTCTTATTTCATCTATGTCCCTTATCTTCCCCCTTATTGCTTTGTGAAAATCTCAGACATCAAATTTTCTCAGGCATGAATCCTTTATCTCTAATGGGTAAGGAGTCAATAAAAATATAACCGCATAAACACCTAAGACAATTCATAATAATATCTTACTGTCTTCTAATAGCAATCTATATCAAAACTTTACTGATTGTTGCAAAGATGTCTTATTACTATGTTCATTTGAATCAGGACGCAAAGAAACTCCACCCACTGTATTTGGTTGACAAGTGTCTTAAACATCTTTTAATCTATAACAGTCTCCCTCCTTTTCTTTTATTTAAAAAAAAAAAAGCCATGAGGGCCGGCCGAGTGGCTCAGTTGGTTAAGAGCTCGCTCAAGAGTTTGAGCTCTGAGCAATAGTAGTTCGATGCCCAGCCTCAGCTGAGCTGCCGCTGAGCTGCCAACAGGTGGCAGGATGGCTCAGCTAAAAAAAAAAAAAGCCATGAATCTGTTGATAAACAAGTCATTTGTCATGTACAAGTTCACCCATTTTCAGTTTGGCTGGTTGATTCCTCTTTGTGTCATTTAATATGTTCCTGTGTTCCCCTCTATTTCCTGTGAACCAGAGTTAGAGCTAAAAAGTGTGTGTGTGTGTGTGTGTGTGTGTGTGTGTGTGTGCACGCACATTTCAGTATCACAATGATATGAAAGCTATGCTGTAAAAAAATACATTGATAGGGCCTAAGATATATCATTTTGTAAGACTGCTCCAAGATATAGAACTGTTAATCAAGCTTATGTGAAGTATTTCTGTTCTATTTATTAAAGTCACATGTTGCTCTTATAACATAACTGATTACACTTTTTTGATAAGAGATAATTTATTAAAAGGCAGATAAATCTTTAAAAAAAATACATTAAAGCTATGTCTTGAAGAACGAATCTGACTGATTTTCGCTGTCAGCAAGCAAAGATGGACCAGTGAGGTAATGGTGGAAGTGAAGCAAAGAGACCAGTGAGAGGACCAGATTTAAAGATTTACCATAAAACTAAAGTGATCACGACAAAGTGGTACTGACATAAAAGATAGACAAATGAAATTCAAAAAAGAGAGTCCAAAAACAGATCACCTATATATGATCACTTGATTTACGACAAAAATTTCAGCACAGCTCAATGGGGGGGAATGAAGGAGTTTTTCAATAAATATTGGCTGTAGGAAACGTCATGATGTATTTTTTCTATGTTTTTCGTCACAAAAATGCGTCATGACTTTACCAACAACCCAATAGAAGCAAGCCCTTATCCATATGGAAAAAATGAACTTTGATTCCTATGTCATGCCACACACAAAGATTAATTCAAGATAGGTCACAGACCAAAATGTGAAAGCTAAAAGCATAAAGCTTCTAGAATAAAACATGGGAGAATAGCTTCATGACCTTGAGGTGGGCAAAGATTTCTTAAAGAGGACATGAAAAGACAGTAACCATAAAACATTTGGTATATTGGACTTCATTAAAATTAAGGACTTTTATTCATTAAAAGACACTTTTTATGTATCTACATTTCACAAAGTTCATATCCAGAACATAAAAGTGCCCATAAGTCAGTTAGAAAAAGACAAACATTTCATTAGGAAACATGGGCAAAAGCCTTGAACAGATGTTTCGTACACAAGAATGTGTTGATTTTTGGGTTGCTTATTATTCTTTCTCCTCAGTCACTGTCCCAAGGTGTACCCCCAGCTGCTCTGTGGCCTCTGGTCTCATTGCCTCTTTTTCCAGCTCACTCACAGCCTGGGGAAGGATTTGTTTCTCAGGTCACTTAAGGTTCTGGAGGCTGATTGTATGTGGTGGGGTATTAGGTAGGAGGTATATTTCCTGTGATGTTTCCTGCATCTCCTATCATCATCTGTGGAATTATTCTGACCCCACAGCTGTACATAAGGCTCAGCTCATTAGTAACTTTCACATCCTCTCACTGTCAGTTTTACAAGGTGGTGGCTCCTCCTCCTCCCCTTCTCTTTCTTCTTCCTCGAGAACCTGTTGTTAAACATTTACCAGCACATCTCTTGGCATTTCAAAAATATTTTAAAAAATAGGTTTAGGTCTGACAAGTGGGTTCCATCCCAAGTCTATTCTCCTCACAGCAGCCCGAGATCCTATTAAAACCTAAGGCATAGCTCATCACCCCAGACGCAAAAAAGGACACACTGTGTGATCCCATTCACATAAAGCTCCAAATTGGGAAAATTGAACTCTAGTGCTTAGGTGCCCATACATTGGTGGTAAAGCAATAAAGACATGCAAGGGCATAAATAGGACAGAAGTCAGGATATTGGTAACATCTGAGAGGAGAGAAGGGGTATGACGAGGGGGAAATGCAAGGAACATGAAGCAATATAGTTCCATGGATGTTCACTTTAGAATTATTAGTTAAATATACATGCACGCCTTATGCATTTTTCTCTAAATATGCTCTACTTCACATTTTTTTAAACATAATTTTTAAAAATTTTATTGGGGAATTGGGGAAGGGAACAGTGTTGGGGGATTAGGGAAGGGAAACATTGTGTTTTTCCAGGACCATCAGCTTGAAGTCGAGTTGTTGTCCTTCAATCTTAGTTGTGGAGGGCGCAAGCTCAACTCCAAGTCCAGTCGCTGCTTTCTATTTAGTTGTGAGGGGGGCGCAGCCCACCACCCCATGCAGGAGTCCAACCAGCAACCTTCTTATTAAGAGCACATGCTCTAATCAACTGAGCCATCCGGCCACCCATTGGCAGCTCAGCGGCACCTCAGCTTGGGCGCAGCTCACTGGCCCATGTGGGAATCGAACCGGCAACACTGTTGCTCAGAGCTCCGGCTCTAACCAACTGAGCCATCCCGCCAGCCCACACAACTTTTTAAGGAAAGTAAAAGATCTCTCTGGGGCTGCTGTGTGGGAGGCTGGGGAATGAGGCCTCCACGTGGGTCCAGGGCAGCGCTGTCCCGTGGAACTTTCCATAATGGGGGAAATGTTCTCCATCTGCGCTGTCCAAAATGGTAGCCACAGGCCACCTGTGCCTACTAAGTACGTGAAATGTGGCAAGAGTGACTACGGAATGGAACTTTAAATTTTTATGTAACTTGCTTTACTTTAAATTTAAATAGACCCATGTGGCTAGCAGCTGCCATTTTGGGCAGCACAGGGTGAGATGTTTTAAAGAATACATCTGCCTGGGAGACACAACAGCAGTTAGGTGTACATGAATCACTGGACATGTAAAGAGAGGCAAATTAACGTACAGGGCAACCACCACCATTTCAACAAGATTCTGTTAATCAATGTAACTCTATGAAATCACCAGAACCCCCTTCCCAGAAAATACCCCCCAACACAGCTTCCCTCTCCCAGCAACACCCCACAACTGAACCCCCACAGGAATACCCTCTCCCACCAGAATCCCTCTGCTGAAATCCCCTTAACAGATGCTCCCCCTCCCCACCCCCCTCACCCGCCCATCACTAGAATCCCTTCTCCCATGAGATCTCCCCACCAGAAATCCCTGCTCCCATTGAAAACCCTTCTCCTACCAGAACCTCCCCACTGGAACCCTCCTCTTCCACTAGAAGCTTCCCAGATCCTCTCATCCATACCCACCCATAAGGCTTGTGGGGAGAGTGGTAACAGAAGGCAGTTGCTCCCAGCTGACCTCGGCCAAGCTAAGCCTGATTCCTGGCTCTTTCCTACAGGCTCACAAGATACTTGATGGATAATCTGATATAGAATTTTATGTGGGGTTCAGGAGACGCAGCCGTCTCATCTGGCTTCTATTCTGAATCTTGCACCCTTTCTGACTTCAATGCCATTTCGATTCTCCAGATTTTTAAAAATCGATTGCAGATAGAGTAAATAAGCTAATCTGGGCCATGCGCTCCAGATATTTATGATCTTAAACATACATTGTTGTATACTGTAAGCCAGCAAGGGTCTGAGCTACAAAAGGACAGTAATTTCCACATAGGATTTGAGCCTGGCTCGTCTGTTTAAAATGGCACCTGATATGGATTGGAATGTGTCCCCCACAAAGGTATGTTGAAATCTTAACCCCCAGTACCTGTGAATGTGACCTTATTTGGAAATAGGGTCTTTGAAGATGTACTTAAGTTAAGATATGGTCATTTGGGTTGGGCCCTAATGCAATATGACTCTTTCCTTATGAAAAAAGGAGATTTGGGCACAGAGACAGGGACACCCGCAAGGAGAATGCTGTCTGAAGATGAAGCAGACATCAGGGTGATGCATCTACGCACCAAGGAACCCCAATGATTGTCAGCAAACCACCAGGAACTGGGAGAGAAGCAGGGAACAGATTCTCTGTTACAGCCCACAGAAAGAATTGACTGCCAACACCTTGATCTTGGACTTTGGCCTTTGGAACTGTGTCTGTGGTTTAAGTCACTCAGCTTGGGGTACTTTGCTACAGCAGTCCTAAGAAATTAATTCAGTACCTAAGAAAGTGGGGAGGGTGGAAGGCTGTTTCCGGTGGTTTTGTGGAGTTTCTTCAGTTAGCCAAGCTTCAGTAGAATGCTGGCTGTCGCCCTGTGTGTTGATTTTCATTTATTATAATTAAATTATGTCCATGGTCATGGGCTGTTCCTTCCAAGTATTGGCATTCCCTAGGGCTCTATCTGTGGCTCATTGTCCTCCCAGGTTGATTTCATGGTTTCACATACTGTATATAGATGGTGTTCACATTTTTATTTTGGGGCCAGAAACTTCCCTTTAGACAAAATTTAAAAACAAAATTTTTTTAATGGAATAACTTTAAAAATTCCAAAAGTAGAGAGTGCTGAGCAGAGCAGGCTC